TAATAGCTAGACGAAGGATTTGAAGATAGAAAAGGTTCTCAGGAGCTAAATAAATTCGAAGGCCATTTCACAGGGCGTGGAGTAGCGCGGAATTGCCCCCAAGATGGACAAACATCCAGCTGCGCGGCATTTCATTTCCCTGAGCCATATAGCAGGCTTTACTTACTGTACGAATACGAACCTCACCTCAACTCTACATCTTCATCTTCCTTCCAGAGAAAAAGCATCTTTCTCTAATGGCGGTGAACACTTCTAGTATATTTTGTTTAGAAGTTGCCTGCAAGGAAGTGTGCAGTTTCTGTCTGAATGGTATATTACTAGGGATATCATTTTTGTAGTGGTCTTGATTGTGTTTGGCTGTAGGGAAGCTATTTTTTGTTATCTATTTTCTCCCATTTCCACTATTTTTTTTTTTTGTTCTTTCATCCCTTCCGTTCATATGGCGTAGGATATTAGTTCGTTATCCAGGTAATATTCTAGAAGGTATTTACCTTTTTTTTTTTATCATTAATATCTAAAATTTATATTAAATTTTGATTAATTTACAATCGAATTGTATTAAATTTTATAAAAAAAAATTATCCAAACATTTGTTTTTCTACTTATAAGAGCTGAAGTTAAAATTTTTATTTTAAAAAAATTGAGTTATTTCCATTAAAATAAAATCAAAAGGCTATTAATATTTAGCTGAATTATTAGCAATAAAAAAAGACTTACTTTGAAGTAAATTATTCCAAGGAAAAGGTGTTTGAGTTAAATTTTTTTTAAAAATTATTCAAATATTTTTTTAACTTATTTAAAATTATTCTTAAAAGTTATTTATATATATAATTTTTAAACAAATTTATAAGGCGTCGTATTTAACCGTTACTTTAAAGAAAATGAATGCACGTGACCTAACACCACTGAATCCGAAAGTACAAGTGTTAAGTTTTTATATTTTTAATATAATTTTAAATTAAAAAATTTATTATTTTTTTGTAAACATCACCTGTGCTTAATTGAGCGTAGGAAACGCGAATACCATCGTCGCCTGGGCCACTCAACTGGGCTCGATAACTTTCTTCGGCCCCAAGTAGAATGATCCGCAAAAAGACAACAACAGCCAGCTGCACCGCGTTTCATTTCCTGAGCCATTTAGTTAGCAGGTTATAGTGTACGTCACCTCCGTTCTACATGCTCATCCTCCTTCCAGAGAAAACCCGTCTTCTCCAATGGCGTCGTCGTCTTCGTCTTCTTCTTCTTCGTCTCTAGGTTTTTCTCATTTCCTTTAACTCTTCCAACCTTCTTTTTTTTTTTCTCTCTCTCTCTTTTCCACCATTTCTTATCAGAAATTTGTTTCTGTTCAGGTAATACTGTAATGCAGAAGCAGTTGCTTGATGCAGCGTCCTCTGGAGACCTTCTGCTGTTAAAGAGTAAGAGTTGCATTTTCATTAAATTCATTTACTTAATCGACTTTCTTTACTACAGGATTTGATTCCTTTGTTTGGAAATGTTGAAGCAGAGCTGGTGAATGAGCTTGAGGTCAAAGGTGGTTTGGCTGAAACAATTGCGAGTATAAGGAACAATGGTGGCTCAACCACTCTTCATGTGGCGGCGGTGGCAGGAAAAACTCACGTCTGCAAGTTTCTTGTAGAGGAGGTAAAACTCGACGTCGATCTGAAGAATGACATATCAGGTATAAGTATATGTATGGAAACCATCTATAATACTTTATGAACATTTTCTAGTATCGATACGGATTTGTTCGGTATTTGGATCTGTGAGTATTTCTTGACAGCAAGATTAGCAACTGCAATACTATCCATGTTTTATTGCTAGCTAATTAGTATTTGGTCTGTATCTCTTCGGCATATGGTTATGGCTAGTTCTTGAATCTTCAATTTCGGTTTTGGATTCAACTGCTGAACTTGTTTTATTGTGGCGTCTGTATATTCCTTGAACTATTCTAGCTTACAATTCTTGTTTACAGATGAGAATCCTTTACACTCTGCATGCTTTAACGATCACTATCTCACTGCTGAATATCTTGTTGAGAATTGTGCAAATTTGAATGCTATGGCTGTCCATTGGCGTAAGCGGACTCCTTTGCACTGCGCTGCAGAAAGAGGTATTTAAACTTTTCTAAGATGAAAGCTGATGATTATATGTTTGACCATTTGAATGTCCATAAATAAAGTGGTTATGCATTTTCTAATATATTGCGAAAAGGAGATTTGAATGGAGAAGATGTGGTCGCAATTGCTTATGTGGTGCCTTTGTTGCGTCTGGAATGTTTTTCTTTTTCTTTTTTTTCTTTTTATGTTTGCTTGAGTTGTTTCTCCTTTAAACACTTAGGGAGATGGGCAATCAAGGAGATTTCCCCACATCAAAGATTTATATAACACACATCAAAGATTTCTGCAGTTCTAGAACAGAAGGCCTTTCCCCACTTTCATGCTGTTAATAATTTAGTAATTGTGTGAGTTGAAAGTATATCTTTGGACACTGATTTTTTTTATTCCAGTCCTGAGTAGTGATTATAGCTATATGGAGTTTCTTGTATTTAGTCTTCCATTTGGAATTAGTTTTATGGTGCAGTATAAAGTTTTACTACTTGGCCCTACTGTTGCAGGATCCAAAAGACTTATAAAGTTGTTGGTGTCAAAAGGTGCTGACCTGAATGCAGTAGCTGAGTTTGGCACACCTCTGCTAGTTGCAGCTCTTAGGAGCAATAAAGATTGTATTGATATTTTGTTAGATAACCATGTTGATGTAAGAAAGATTTATCTTTGCCATGTATATTTATGTATATTTCCAGAAAAATGAGTTCTGCTGATTGGAGCTAGGCTTAGATAGCTTAGCAATGTAGGTTTTTTTACCCCTCATATCTATTATCCATTGAAAGCTGTTTTCTTCTGCTATGAATCTATTATGTAATCTTCAATTCATTACAATTTCCCTAAAAAATTTGTTTGATGGTGTCTTACTTTATGCTTTATCTCATTTTTGCTGTTTTGTATAGCCAAATGTGATCGACCATGATTTGTTTTCCCCATTGACGGCATCTATTGGAGCTCAATCGATTGAATGCGTGAAACTCCTGCTAGGGGTATTACATTTTCTCTCCTTTTAATTTTAAATTTATCTTTGCCATATACAAGAATCATTGTTAAATATTAATGTTGAAGTATGTGGTTCTTTAAATTATCTGTCATTTATCTTATACAATGACAAAGACAAATATGTGAATACGAATTTCTATAGGCTGTAATGTGTTAGATTGGCAATAAGAAATCTGAGTTTGGCTGCCTTCGAACATGTAGCTAATAATCCATGCTTTGTTTTTGGTCATTTGCTGCAAATGGACTGATGGCAGTAGCCTGAGCTTCTAGAAATAGATTGTTTTAATGCTTACCAGTGACTAGCCACTCACAAATATTTTCAACTATGGTTTTTTTTCCTTTCTCTCTCTCTCTCTCTCTTTCTATGTTATCATACTGAATACCACTATATTTAATTATTTTATAGGCAGGAGCTGATCCAAACATAAGTTGTCTGCTTGGAATGACACCTTTGGGATTTGCAGCTTCAAGAGGATCGACTGAAATTATTCAATGTCTGTTGAATGCTGGTGCTGATCCAAATGTCACTGATAATGTGAGTTGCTGCCAACCCCATGCTTTATGTCTAGTTAACATTGAGCAGTCAATTTTCAGTCGGTTTTTAATAAATTTAAACACTTAATGTTACAGTTATCAGGAGTGAAACCAGTTGAAGAAGCAGCATTTAAACATAACCATGAGGCTGTTATGATTCTTCTTCCTTTGACTTCTCCCATTCCAACTATATCTGACTGGAGCTATGCTGGAATACTGAGGCATGCTTGCTCTAAAGAGGCTATAGAATTGGTATTGCACTTTTGGGTTGTTTTTAACTTTTCATTCCATAGTTTTCTTGTGTTTTTTGTTTGTCGTAAGCAATGAGGATTAAGGGGTACCTTGTAGTGGGTTGTTTAAATTTCTGGTAACAAACTTGGACATAGAAACAAAGAGCTAGTTCAAAAGGGATTCACATCTACAGGAGAGATAATTTACCCTCGTAAGCAAGGCACATTTATTTGCAGTAATAATTGTTTTCTCAAGTTTTATAATAGCTCGATCACGTCTTTGCATTAAAAGATGTAATACCATTTTTTTTGTTTTTTTTTATTTTGGTTGATCAAAGAAAAAAAGATGTAATACCATGTTTAATATAAGTGGCATTAATTTGTAATAATAGTTGTCATGAACATCAGTGAAAAATTCTTAGTTATTGATTTCTATTGCTTTTCAGCAATCATGTCTAATTAAAACTTTATATTCCTGTAGTGTTTCCTTGGATTTGGATTGCTAGTTGAGAGCTTGGTATTCACTATGCTTTTAGTTACTTGCAGAGAAGGCAGCACTGTAAGAAAGATATGTTGTTTTCAAAATCCAAGGCAGAAGAGCATTTCAACATGAAGGATTATCTGGGTGCATTTTATTGGTACTCAAAGGTGTGTGGGCAGTGGGCCTCTGTTTGGTATCTTGGTTATGTTTTTCTCTTTTAAATGATTTACTGTGTTTTTGTCATATCTGTTAAACCTTAATATGCTCTTCAGAAATTATGTGCATCTGCTATGAGGTGTATAAATTTTCGTATGGGACAATTACAATATCCGGTTCTTGTCGCTAGAGTTTATATTTTCTCTCTTTCGGATGCCATTTACATTTATATCGCTAAGTTATTCTGTTTCAGCTTGTTGATTTGGTTTGGGATGATATTGCAGGTGCATGTTGCAGATCCTTATGATGTAGATGTACTATCCAACCGCAGCCTTTGTGGGATCGAATGTGGATATGGAGAGGCTGCATTAGAAGATGCTTTAATTTGCATCATGCTAAGACCTGACTGGCCAAAGGCTCACTACTGTGCGGGTGTGGCATTTATAACATTGGGAGTAAGCTGATCTGAACTCTGATTCATGTTGACATCTATTAGATTAAATTTGTTCGTTAGTGTGTCTATAATATAAGTTTCATGATGCACAATTCAAGGATTTTGAGAAAGCTGCTGATGCCTTTTATGATGCGTGGAAGTTAGATCTTGAAGACAAGGATCTGGAAAGAGCTTTTTGGTAGAATTTTCTTTCCTTGCTTTAACTTTGTATCTATAACTTGTTTACACCATTGAAATTAGAGATGCAGTCTGGTAGCCAGTTCATAAGCTCCTTTATTTGAGTTAAGTTGGGATTTTAATAACATGAGAAGTAATATAATCTAATAATTGATAGTTCAGGCTTCTGTAACATACCTTTGTGGGAACAAACATTGAAAAAGACACCACCTTAGTATAAGTTTATGGCGCATGTTGAGTTTCATTATTTTAGCCTTTGTGTTGTGAGTGATATAAAATATCCCTTTCTAAGTCTGATGTAGCATTCTCATGTCTATGGAATATTGCCATGATAACTAGTTCCTAGAGGTAGGATCAAAATTGGACTGGATACTATTTTGGTTCATGAAAGTCGAAAGATTTTTTCACCTTCTCAATGTGATATGGTCACAGTCATGAGAATTGGATACTCGTTGAGGAAAGATAGGAGATAATAAATAAAGAATTATGAGCGTAACTTTTGTCATATTTAATTATGAGCTTTGTCAAGGTTTTGACCAGTTATCACATGTCCTTTCCCATCTTCATTTTCCATTGCTGGCGTTTTCTTGTCTGCAAATTTTCCATCTTATTCTCACTGTATTTTGACGGCAGTTTCGCAATGGAAATGAATGCCAAACATGACACGATGCACAGCTCAGAACTTGAAAATTGTTTAGCTAATGTTCGAATTACACCATAGTTTCAAATGGAACAAGAATGGAGGAGAAATACTTGTTTGTGGTATATTTTGGTTACAAGTTGTCTCTGTAAGGAAGTCTGCTGTTCCTGAATGGTATATTACTAGGGATATCTTTCTTGGATGGACTTGGTTTTGTATTTGGCTGTAAGGAAGACCTTTTTGTTGTCGATTTTCTCCCACATTTTCACAGGTTTGGTTCTTTCTCATCCTCTTATTATTTCTTTCATATTCACGTGTTATCTTATTTCTTATGAATTAAACTTTTACAATAAAATGATTCACCTGAAAACTCATCTCACAATATTCTCACAATTGTATTTAGTAGTGATAATCTTTTTGTTCACTGCTATATGGTAATGTCTTTCCTTTTTGCTGTTTTTTGCCTGATCCCAATGATCTTTATTTCTTCCTTGATGGTGCAGCAGCGTATGAGTTGAAGTAATTAAAATAGTTCTTGATTCCCCGTATGTTACAAGCCAATTTAGAATTTAGGAGAAATAAGAGAGAGAATGTAGAATCAAAACAAGAATCGAGAAGGAGAAAGGGGGAGAATCAAGAGAAGAAAGACAGTGGAGAGGGAAAGGAAGACACAATATTTATCCATAAGGAGCGCTTAAAACTGAACACGTTGGCATTCTATGGTTTAACAAATTAGTTAAGCCCCTGAAATATCTATATTTACAATTGGTTATGTAACACTATACCCATGCAAAAAATATTATTTCATATAAAATAATGAGAGTTTTTTTATATATATAATTTAAATTATATTAAATTATACACTTTTACCTTCGGGTCCTGTGTCGTCAAGTCATATTTAAGTACATCTCTCTTTTTTCGGACAATGAATTCAAATTCAGTTTCTTACAAAATTGTTCAAAAATATATATATATATATATTAAATTATAAAATAATTATTATTAAATGAAAAGAGAATTTATAATATCATTGACACATCTTTATTTAATAATAAATATTGTATCGTTTGAATTAAATAATGTTTTTTTAAAATAAGAAAATATAGGTAAGAAAAAAAAAATTTCATCCAAGGGCCAAGGTCATAAAATACAAATCTATGGCTAGGTTCAATTATGATACTCCTGTTTAATTTTAATACCTAGTAAATAATTTATGGAGCATGGTTAGGCCAATTTATGAACGATAGGCGTTAAAACAACAAATTTACTCAACAAAAATTTTATCATCTTTTTAATAAGCCTGATTTATGGTGATAAATTCTAAAGTTAAAATAATACTATCATTTAGAGTCTCGTATAAATAGAAAGGCAGTTAGATTGGAAAGGAAATGAATCTTCCAAGAACTTAAGACACCAGATAGGTTAATCCCTACCCTATAACATCGAAATCAAATTCTCTAATTTCCTGTTTCTGGTTTCCATTAGAATTTTCAACCAATGATACCAATGAAACAATTAATTCGAGTGGAAAAAATTTATTTTTTAATTTGAGTGAAAAGAATTTTTTTTAAATAAGATTTTAAATTTAAATATTGTAAATAAAAAAATAGATATTAAAAAAAAATTTAATAAAATCTGGCACATATCTATTTTAAATTAATTAAAATCAACATAGTTAATAGATATAGAAAGATTAATAAAAAAAAAAATCAGATTTCCCAGCCAGGCGGAGAGACACGGTCAGGCGAGCCTCCGTAGCGCCTCCATGCACTACACAACTTAAATGGTTGAGCTTGAGCATCGTCTTCCCGTATTAGAAATTGAACCTTCATTTAATAATTAATAATTATTGTTTTACATTTTCATCAGACTCTATTGAAAAAAAAAAACACTTCTTTATTTAAATTATCACATATAATTGTATTTTATTATTTTATTATTTTTTAAATTTCAAACGAACTCCACCAAGCCACTCAAGATGAGATATTTACCAAATTTAAAAATCAAATTTTTAGTTACCTAACAATTAATAAAATTAACTTAAAACCTAAGTAGTAAAAAAAAAAAAAAAAGTGACCACCACATCGCGTCAAACGGGTCTACACTCTACAGTACACTGAGGCAGCCACTGCAGCTCTGTTACAGTACGACCAGAATAGGTGAGTTTTCTTGGTATACACGGCGATAAAGAGTCTAGCCTCTAGCTACCATCGTTTCGTTCTTTTTTAATTCTTCCTTGTGCTTATTTAGCTTGCTCTCATTCCCAAAATCAGTCGTTTCTACTGCTAAGTGGTGAGACGCGACGTGAGCAAAATTTCCAGAGAACTCAAAATGTTTAGTATTCTCTCGTTCGCCAATCCCGGGGAACGATCACCTTCAGGTCTCTCACTTTTGCTTTCTTTTTCCGATTTTAAGCTCTCATCGTTTGCGTCGTGGAAAGTTGACAAATATTGCTATTTTTATACTGATATGCAGGTAACGGCGCTAAGCACAACCTGCTGAAGGCGGCCTTCAAAGGAGATCTGCCCCAGTTCAAGAGTAATACCGCCATATTCTTTACATTTCTTTACCTAATCGATCGATTTTCATCGCGGCTGCTTTGTATGGGATTTGATTTCTGTGTGTTTGAAATGCTGAACTAGGGCTCTTAAACGAGCTTCATCTGAAGGATCGTTCGCCGGCAACAATCGCCAGTATAAAGGACGGAAATGGCCTGACCGCACTGCATACTGCGGCGTCAGGAGGTGGAAATCAGATCTGCAAGTATCTCGTCGAAGATCTGAAAATTGACGTCAATCTAACTGATAAATCAGGTATATGTAAAGGAAAACTTCGTATCAGTAGCTTTATCTTCTGATTTAATGAATATTTTCTTCTATTTCTTCGGAAAGGTGGCGTCTATGTTATCCGTGATGTATTTATTCTAGGAAACTAAGCAACATGCGTGATTTTACAGGTCTGACTCCTTTACATTATGCAAGTAAATTTGATCGTTTTCATATTGCCAAATATCTTCTCAAGAATGGTGCGAATCCAAACGCTATGAATGATGTAGGGCGCATTTCTTTGCATTTCGCTGCTGAAAGTGGTAATCAAACCTTTTTCTTGATTTGAAAATTGATCATTTTGTGTTTTTCTGTTCTAATACACATAACGTGAAAGATATTCTTACCAATTTCTTATGTATTCATGTATGAGTTGTTTTTTTTCTAATTAATCGGGAGTGAGGGTTGATTTCCTTGGTTTCATAGATGGGACGTCAAAGGTTTCTACATTTATAGACCAATAAAGTGTTTCCCCCTTCGTCAAAGAGTTAATATTGTAATATTTACTTGAGGTGGAATTATATGTATGGAGACTGATTTTCTCATTTTAGCCCTGGTCGTCAATGGTAATTATGTGGCTATATGGAATTTCTTGTATTTGTCCCATTTTGCTTTGGTTTTGTAGTGGTGTTAAAGTTTTGCAAGTTTTATTATTTTAATGATCCAATTTTTGCAGGATCTAAGAAACTTGTAAAGCTGCTGATGTCAAAAGGTGCTGATCTGAATGCAGTAGCTGATTGCGGCACCCCTTTGCTGGCTGCAGCTTTTCATGGCAATAAGGACTGTGTTGAGATTTTGTTGGATAGCTGTGTTGATGTAAGGAAGAGTTATCTTAACTTGATATTATCCCCAAAAAATTTGAGTTCTGCTATGTGGTCTGGAGTTACATAATTTGGCAGTATATGTTTTTCCCCTCTCTTCTGTTGTCCACGGGACTCTTTATCTGTTTCTTCTATTAAGATGCAAAAAATATCAGAAATGATACATGGTGTTATCAAATTGTTACATTTTTGTCCAAATTTTATTTGATTGTGGTTTACCATGTGCTTCCCCGTATTCTTGCATAGCCAAATTTCGTTTCTCGTGATATGCTTTCCCCACTGACGGTCTCTGTTGGAGGTGAATCGATTGAATGCGTGAAGCTGTTGCTCAAGGTACAACATTTCCTACTGTCTTTCTTCTGATTTGTCCTTGCAATATACGAGAATCATTTGTTAAATATTGACAGTCTATGATTCAGTTTATTCTATAAATGATTACAAGCATGTTGATGCTTAGAATGCATGCAATTTTTTTTTTAATTTTTTTTGGTTTAATGCTTCAAGGGGACACTTGCAGTAGCATGAGCATCTATGAAAAGAATAGATTTTGTTGTCTTGATGCCAACCCGGGGCCACTCTGTGCAACAAATATTTTTACAGTTGATGTGCCTTTTTTTACTATGTTATCATTGTGCTTACTCTTTTCTTTCCTTATTTGTAGGCAGGAGCTGATCCAAACTTATGTCCTCCAAATGGAATGACACCTTTGGGATTTGCAGCTTCAAAAGGATTGACTGAAATTGTTAAATGTTTGTTGAATTCTGGAGCTGATCCAAATGCCATTTCTAGTGTTAGTTGAAACAAATCATCATATTCTATGCCTATTGTTTGCTGTGTAGATAACTTTGGGTGGCCAAATTCCCTTGGTTTTCAGAAATTTGTAACTTTTATGTTACAGTTATCAGGGGTGAAACCGATTGAAGAAGCAGCAGCAAATTATAATCGTGAGGTTGTTATGATTCTCCTTCCTGTGACTTCTCCCATTCCAACTGTATCTGACTGGAGCTATGCTGGAATAATGAGGCATGTTAACTCTAAAGAGATTAATGAAGAGGTATTACAAGATCTAACTTTTCTTTCCTTAGTTGGCTTGTGTTTTTTGGTTGTGTCTGGTGGACAATGAGGTTTCGGGGGTTGGCTTGTGATGGTTTGTTTAAACATACTTGGATACAGAAACAACAAAGTAATAATAACTTCAGTAGGAAGTCACTGCACTAGAGAAGGTATATAGCTTGCATTATCAGAAGCAGAGGGTAGAGAATGAGTTCCTTTTCTTAAACCTTGACAGGACGTGAAAAGTTTACTTTTACTTGCAATAAGAAAATCTTCTCAAGGTTTGAAATGGTGCAATCATGTCTTTGCTCTAACAGAAGTAATGCGAGGTGTTAACACAAGTTACACCTTTATTTGCAGTAAATGGTTGTTGTGATGAAGTTCTTGTGATTGATTTCTTTATGCAGTAGCAATCATGTTTAATTTATATTCCCAAATGTTCCCTTGCATGTGGTTGTTAGGAGAGACTTTGGTATTTCCTGTGCTTGTAATGTCTTGCAGATAAAACAGCAGATGAAGGATGATGTGATGTTTTCAAAATCCAAGGCAGAAGAGCTTCTCAACAGAAAGGATTATTATGGTGCAATAGCTTGCTACACAAAGGTGTGGAGGGGCCGCTGTTTGATTTTCTCTGTATCATATTTTCCTCTTAAAATTGAGTTAGTATATTTATTTTTCTGTTCAGGCATTTGACATAGCTCAAAATTGTATTTTCTCACCTTCAAATGCCCATGCATTTGAATATACCTAAGTTTTCTCTCCTGTTTTGGCTTGATATTTTGTTTTGGCTTGATATTTTGTTTTGGATGATATTGCAGCTGATTTCTGCTGATCCTGCTGATGCTGAAGCATTAGCCAACCGAAGCTTGTGTTGGGCCCAATTGGAAACAGGGGATGCTGCATTAGAAGATGCTTTGCATTGCATCAAGCTAAGACCTGATTGGGAGAAGGGTTACTTCAGGGCGGGTATGGCATGGATGTTATTGAGGGTAAGCTAACCTAAAGCTGGTTCACTTTTATATTTTATTAGATTAATTTTGTGTCCTGCTGATCTATACTCTAATTTTTGATACTCAATCTAGGATTTTGAGAAAGCTGCTGATATTTTCTACGATGGTTGGAAGTTGGATCTTCTAGACAAGGAGCTTGAACGGGCTTTCTGGTAGCAGATTCTTTTCCGATCTCTTTATATTTGTAGCTTGCTTACACCATAAAAAGTAGACTTGGATTCTGTTAGTGAGTTCATAAGCTCTATGGTTTGACACAAGATGAGATTTTAAGAGTGCAAGAAGCAATAAATTTTATCCATTGATTGTGATTTTAGGTGATGGCTAAAAATAAATAAATAAATAAATAAACTGATTGGGTTTCATTATATTTGCCTACATGGATGATTTAAAAATGCCTTCAAGCTCTGATGTGGTTTTTTTTTTTTTTTTCTTTTCTCTTTCTTTTTGGGTGATGGCTAAAAATAAATAAAAAAAAACAGAAACTGATTGGGTTTCATTATATTTGCCTACATGGATGATTTAAAAATGCCTTCAAGCTCTGATGTGGATTTTTTTTCTTTTTTCTTTTCTCTTTCTTTTTGGGTAGCTACATTCCCTTTTTTCGTTGCAATAGTTTACTATGTAGTTAATTGCTGGTAACTGCAGGTCAATATATTAAAATTTCTAATCAAAGAAAATACATATCAATTAAGCACCTCTATCTTTGGTAAAAAATTTAAGTACCTTTCTGAAGCATGTTCATGGTTCATGAAAATGAAGGGATATTATATATTCACCTGCCTTAGAACGTGATATATTGTTGTGATGGTACTGATGGGAAAAGACTGGATATTAATAATCAAGCCAAACCCTTGACACGATAAAATGTGTGGTGTGAACTGATTCATGCTTCTAGTTAATCATCACCTGTCCTCTTCTATTTGTATTTCCTTCTAGCTGTTTTCTTATTTCCAAATATTCTCCTGTTTGTGTTTTTCTTACGGCAGGGACGCAATCGATGAAGTCCAAAGTAACTGACCGCGCAGCTCCAAATTTTAAATGAAAGGATGAATGGATTATGGATGTGAAGTACTTTTGTAGTGTGTTTTGGCTAGAAGTTTCATGGCATGAAATCTTCAATTCCTTAATCATGAATATGTTAATGTTACTTTGTATATCCTTTCTGTTCTGGTCGTATGCCTCTGCGTTCGACCAGAGTGGACGTATAAGTCTAGTTGCCAATGGATGTAGTATTACTTTTGGTTGGAGCTTGAAAACTTTGTTTAATCATCTGGACGTGGTACGTTATGTTTGGCTAAATATGAACTTTTTTTTTTTCTATTATTTCTACTTTTGGATTCAAGGTTTTTCTATAGATTAAGGGGGAAATTTTGTTGTAGATACGAAGATATATATATTTTTCCCCCTCCTATTCTTCCCAATGAAAAGGTACCGTATTAAAATTTAAATTATAATAAATTACACAATTTAGATGAGGGTGGTCTCTATTGACAATTTCTCTTTGAAGTTTCTCGATTGCACGCTAGGCGCACTGAGATCATAAGTTCATAACTACTTGGTCGACACTCTTGTGATGTTTGCTTCATTATTCATGTTATACTTCAATTATTATTTTTTAAGGGTCGTGTAGATGCTATCTCAAAACTTATAAATACTTTCAAGAGCCCTTGCTACTAGTGTTAAGATTTGACTTAGAGCTTTTAACTTATACAACTTATTTTTTTTTTTTATGAATCAAAATTTATTAAAATAGTACAAGGGGCACTCACCCTTACAAAAGAAATGAGAAGACAAGAGTTACATTTTGTAGTCTAAATGCCATCAGCACAAAGATTTGGAAATTGACACCAATCACCAAAACTAAACACTGCAGATTTTGATTTTCCTTTAATCCAGCAAAAAGTTTTAGCTTGAATTAGACCATAAATGTTGTTTTCTTTCCAATTTAGTTTATTGAATACAATACCATTTTTGAAGTACCAAATTGTCCATGCTGTGGTGAGAATAGATAGAGCCCAACAATTCCATGATTTCCTGGCATCCATAAGTGAACAAAGCTCGGTAATTAGCAAGGGAGCATTTGCAGTAGGAATAAAAGGAACCCCCCACCAGCAACAAACCCACTTCCAGACATTTTGAGAACAACGGCAAGTGGCAAAGATATGATTGAGGTCTTCTATGTAATCCCCACAAAGGACACAATTTGGGTTGGAAGCCAGGTCAACACCATGAATTATTAGGTTGTCCTTGGTAGGAAGTCGATTTAAGAAGAGGCGCCAAGCAAAAATACTGACTTTGGATGGTGTGAATGGACTCCAAATAATCTTACAGTAGCTTTTGTCAAGACATGATGGGGAGATCTCAAGGAACCTGTAAGCATGTTTTGTAGAGTATCCCACCAGGTTGTGTTTCCATGTAACTTGATCAGCTCTATCATATGGGATGAACACCTTTTCCATAATATTTTCCAGCACCCCAAGCTCGTCCAATTCCTTGCCAAAGGGAGGCTTGCGCCATTGAAAGGCCCATCCATCTGTGTTGGGTTGCTTTAAGTTGGCAACTAATAGATCCTTGCTTCGAGTGAGGTTGAAAAGGCGAGGGAAATCAGCCATAAGAGGAGAGTTGCCTAGCCAAACATCCTTCCAAAATCTAGTTTTTGAACCATCACCCAACTTTCGAATAAAACCATCAATGAAACAGGCAGAAGCTCTTTCATCATCTCTGCCAATAGATAGGATATCTTTCCAAAGGGGAGACAATCTTGAATGGATAGTATTAGTAATAGAATCAATAGGAGCACCTTTGTAGTATTTACTAACAATGATTTTCTTCCATAACTTCCCATTCTCATCATCATCATAGAATTTACATCATCATTTCCCTAAAAGGGCAGAGTTCCTAAGTGCAAGGTTTGGTATGCTAAGCCCTCCCTTTGATTTATCAAGGCAGACCCTACCCCAATTTACCCATGCAATGTTATTGCAACTATTTGTTTTGAATTGAGTAAAATATTGTTGATTTAAATATTAGAGTGTGTATTTTAAATTTTAATTTTGAGGTTTTGCAAGTTTGCTGCATCACCGGGTTCAAATTTAAACGAGTTGGTTAACTTCAAGCCATTACAGCCACGGTTTCTGTTAACTCTAGTAAATGTAAATTTGAGTTATTTAAATTTAGTTGTTTATCTTTTTAAGATGTTATATAATATTTTTATTTTTATTTTTATCTTTAATTTTAAAAATAACTATAATATGTATCAAATAAAAAGTTTTATTTAAGTAATAATTAATTATAGATAAATATGAATTTTATTAATAAATTATTAATTTTTATTTTAATGGATACACAACTAAGTTTATTAAGGTTGAAAGGAAGAGGTAGATAAATTTCGACCCGGTTGACACCTTTTACAGTTTTACTCCATTTAAAATTCAAAAATGTTTTAATTATAATATCACGTAATATTATAAATTTATAATATAATATGTGGTTATATAGTTAACTTTTTTTATTCAGAGTTCACTTAGAATTATAAATTTATAATTTTACGTGACATTAAATTAAACATGATATGATATTAAATGAATAAATATATATTACATTACAAATGAAGTTTTAGATAAAAAAAATTAATTATATAATGATGTATGATGTTGTTATATTATAAAGTTATAATATCATGTTATATAGTTACTTTAAAAAACATTAAGAGTTGGTATAAATGTTTTATCTGTATAGATTATTTATGTTAATTTTAAAATTAATTTAACCAATCAAGTGTTGGATTAAATGTCAAAGATATTTTGACATTAAAAATATTAAGCTATTTTAGCATTTAAAAAATCATACATTCAATCCTAATCACATAGCATATGAAATTTAAGTTTAATGTATACTATGATTCACTGATTTTATACCAACCTTATATTAAATAAAAGAAGTTGAG